GCAGATTGACTGAAATACACTGCTGAAGCTATCAGCAGGCAAGATAGAAGAGGTCTGCTGTGCCATGTGAGTCAGCTACCTGGTCTTGAATAGAACTTGTGCTGCAGAGAGCTTCATAGTGCTGAGACTTAACCTCTTGTGCCACCAGGGAGGCCCGCTACCTAGCCTTTCTAAGACTGCTTGCTTACTTTTTTAGGAGTTGGAGAGTTATTTTTAAAATGAGCCCTGTGGATCAGAAGACTTAATCATATATCTATATAATTGTAGAGCAAATGGAGAGAAATAGTATTTAGATGCTGGGAGTGGGGGTCGTGCTCTTTTCTTAAATGAAAACCAGACTGTCCTTAATTTTTTCCTTGCAAATTATTAACTTGACAGATTGCTCCATCCTGTTACCCCCATTTTGAATGTGGAGAGAGTTTACTTGGTAAAATTGTAGGCCCTAACAGATCTGGGCATCATATTCATTTCAATCTTTCAATCTCATTTAGCATTAAAATGGCTAAGCTTCATTTTACTTTATTACAATTAGGCCTTCCTTTGTTAGGGGCAATTTTCCTTCCTCTGTAAATCAATTATTAATATCTGCTTCCTTGTAGATATTTGGGTGATCATTACTACCTGTTTCTTTCAGTTCTTTTGCATTTTACAGGCAGGGTGGTTGAAACTCAGGCTCTACTTATATGAAGCTGATTGCATTTTCCTGCTGCCTTCTTTGTGTGAATGTATCACTCTGAGTCTCCAGAAAACAAATAACTTAGACTGTTCTGGTTTGGCATGCTCTTACTCTCTTACCGCTATTGGAGCTGAACCTGGGAACTGAATATAACTTGAAACTTGTGGTTTGGCTGCTAGAATTCAGAGCTAAACTCTCTGAAGCTAAAAATTATTAATGTTGAATGTTTTAACCCACTAAGTAAACCTGAAAAAATAATGAAATTTAACTCTAGTCAACTCATAAAAACTGTATGTAGCATCAGTTTTTTTCTGAGATTAGGAAGAGTGGAAAAAGTATTTGAAAAGGATCTGAGATTGCTAAAGAATTTGAAATTAGTTATTATGGTTTAAAGTAAATGTTACTATCCAAATTCTATTGCCAAATTAAAAAAAGTACCAAACTATACAAAAAAACAAATCCAGAAATCTCACCATGTTATTTACATGCTGCTCTTTCTTCCCCAAGATTATAAGAATCAGTAAACAAAAATAATGAAGTAGGGCCTCCCTGGTGGCGCAAGGGATTAAGATGCAACCTATGAAGAAGCTCGCAGCCACTGCAGCATGAGTTCGATCCCTGGACAGGGAGCTACCCACATGGCACAGCAGACCTGTCCTGTCTCCTGCTGCTGACATCAGCAGTATATTTCAGTCAATCTGCCTATTGTCCCCACTCTGTCTCTGGTGAATCTTCTCACCCCCCACACCTCTGGCCTGTGCCCCAGTTCTTGTATGCATAACTAAATAAATCTTAAAAAAAAAATGAAGTTTGAAAAATGTCAGTTGTACTTGTTAAACATTTCAGATATACTTTTACATGTTTTGTTCAAATGAATAATCAGAAAATATTTTACATTTTACAGTATTTGATATGTCATTGAATATTTTAATACATATCTTAATTTAAATGATGACTATTTCACCTTTTCATTAAACCCCCCCCCAGCTTTTTATTGTTGTCAAGCTCATTAAATCTTAGAACACTTGGTAATAGGGGGTATAGGGGTGGGAATCTTAGACCATCTCTAACCTGGCCTCTTGATAGTATGTATGGAAAGGCAGCCCTTTGTTCCCCCATTAGGTAGCACTCAAAAAGGCATTTATCATCTCAAGATCCCTTTAAACTTTCACAGATAGAAATTTCCTTTGCTTTGATATGTGATGATTAATATGACCTGTGTTGTGTGTGATAATGATAAAGGTCCATGAAGAGTGTTTGGGGTTCTTTAAAACCAGCAATCTGGAAAACAGGAAGAAAACAGAACTTTTATTGTATCTCAATCTAAGAATTAAGTAAACCTTAATTAATATTTACCATCTAGGCTGACAATGGCATCCTCACTGGGTCTGTATGTAAGACTGCCATGTGTCATGTGTCCGTTACGGTCCATGAGGAGAGGATGGATACAGAAGGTTGATAGAGGCACTTTGTTTCCTTCTTTTCCTTGCTACCTTTATTTTCAACAGATTATGAATTAGAATCCTACATATGCCTAGTTAGGTGGATTTGTGGATTAAACTAAACCAAATCTCACAAAATAAACAAATGAGACAAAAAGATTACTGCAAAGAAACTATATACTGGAGATAATACTAATAACATGAGTAGAGGTGAACCACACACACAGGAGTCAGAACTGATGATTCTCCTGCAATAGTGAGGTGAAAATCAAAAACAGTGTAATCCCACTTGTTGAAGACATCCAAAAAAATTGAAATAACAAAGAAGACATTTTCACATACGGAATTTTATCCTTTTTGTTAACAGTGAAAATTTCTCCGATTTTTGTCCCTTGAAATACTGGTTAATGATTGTAGGAAGCCATCATAATTACAAAACAGGACAAGAAGACAAACATTTACAAGTTTTTCAGTGATTATTTATTTATTTATTTATTGTTTATTTATTTTTAAAAATATTTATTTATTTATACAAGCACTGGGTACAATCAGAAGCACGGGAGGGTGAGAGAATTCACCAGAGCCAGAGCAAGGAGCAGAACAAGCAGAAAGACCAAAGTACACTGCTGAGGGGAGCAGTGGGAGGCAGGAGAGGTCTGCGCGCCATGTGGGACACTCGCCTGGTGGCCAGGAATCAAACCGGTGCTGCAGAGGCTGCAGGCAGCTTGGCAACCCAGTGCTCAAACACTGTGCTATCGGGGAGGCCCTCAGTGATTATTTAAAGTCATCTGATACATTATTCAATATCTAGAAAAATTTCACTAACATCAATGATAGTTGTTTAAGTCTCTTTTAGTTTTTCTAAAATAGCAAAATACCAAGTGTAATACATTATTATAACATTAGGGACACACTTATTCTTCCTGTTATGGTAAAATGGATGAAAAAAAAATTAGGAAACAACATGGCAACAACTGAAATGGGTTCTTTCTGGAAGAAATACCTTCAGAACATTTATAGAAATAGTTGCTGATGATTTGGAACATTAAGAATCAAAACAAGTTATTCAGCGCACATGCTACATGATTCAAGTAGAGAAGTTTGGTTTACAAATTTGTCCTTCTAATGCTCACACAAGTTTGAAGGCCACTGGCCTAAATGATTTAGACTCAGGAATAATCCCTTATTTCTTCCTACTTAATGATATATTTGAGACAATCTCTTCATACCTATGGTTTGTCTCAGTTTTAGCTCAGAGCTTTTTTCATCTCTACCTGAGATTTCTTCTCCTTCCTCTCTCTTTTTTTCTCCCATTTTTGAAAATTGTTCATTAGTATTATTTTCACAAAAAGGCTATTATTTTGGTTTTTAAAGTTTGGATGCCACAGCCACTGTTGCAAAAAGCATGTTAAAGGAGATTTTTAAACATTTTCAAAATAATTTTTGTTAACTACTTCATGTCATTAATTTCCTTTTCTCTATATCCTCTTGGCTTCAAATTTAATAGTCTCAAAATAACTTTCTACCAATTGAAATTTCAAAACATGTACTTCAAAGTAAGTATCATATAAGTCCAACAATTGTTGAATTTTTGTTACATTTGCTTTAGTTCTCTTTCTACACACACACATTTTTTTCTGAACCATTTAAAATGAAATTGTCTGCATTAGTACCTTTCACTTCAAAAGGTGAAAATAGTTTTTTTTTTTAAAGATTTATTTATGCATATAAGAACTGAGGTACAGGCCAGAGGTGCTGGGGGGCAGTGAGAGGATTCACCAGACAGAGTTGGGGAGCAGAACAGGCAGATCTACTGAAGTACACTGCTGAGGGTAGCAGTGGGCGAGTAGTTTTTAATGGGACTAGCACAGTATTGTTTTGAAAGGCCAATATGTATCAAAGGCTAAACCAAATATTAAAGACTCATATATTTTCAAGATCATGTTATTATGTAAATGGACGCTTGGGCCCAAAGAGCATGGGCGTGCACATGTGTAAATGTTCACACCTGTGTCTAGAGGCGAGGGTTAAAGACAACAGCGGCAGCACAGTGAGGAGGACCATTCTGAGGCAAGACCATGAGATTGAGAATGCTAGAAAGAATGCTAGAGAGGCCAGAGAAAGAGCGTGTAGATTTGCCAGGTGCTAGAGGGCTCGGTTGCCTCCTGAGTCTCCTGGTTACCCTTCCCTGCCCTGTCTGGCCTTGCTTGCTTGCCACACAACTATAGAACCCAGGATGATTTGAGTGACTGTTTTCTCATTTCTCTCAAGGATGGTTGTAAGAATGGTAAAAAAGTATCAGGCTTTTCTGCCCTCCCGCCATTGGGATTGGTGATGGATCCCTGTGATCCTGAATGCATGCCTGATGACGGGCACCTGGAGTAGGGTGTGGGCATGTGTAACTGGGTACACCTGGGCTAAGACTGGGCTTATAAGGGCAATGTCACGGGAATGCCAGGAGAACCAGAAAACACCGGAGAGTCCAGATAGAGTGAAGGCTTGCTGGGGGTTGGGAGGCCTGTCAGCCTCCTGCCTCCCCTGGCACCCCTGCCTGCTGTGTACCTGGTAAATCCCAATAAAAGCCTGAAAAGCCACTGAGGGCTCCAGGACTCCTCCTTTACCCATCTGCTCGTATCATAGAGATCCTGCTCTGTACCCTTCCCACTGCTACAACGGTATGTAACTATGGATGGTACCCCCAATCCAGATGCAAAGGGGAGAAGTTAATTCATTGTGCAGGATGGATGTTAGAGTATTAAGGCTTAATTTTCTTTGGAAACCCAGAGAAATTATTTATGTAGCAAGTTCTTAAAAAAGATTTTTGCTTTGATTAGCTTGTGATGTTTCTACAAATAACTTTTTTTTTTTATTTTTTTTTTTAGATTACAGGTCCACCAGGTTGTGGAAAAACTCAGTTTTGTATAATGATGAGTATTTTGGCTACATTACCTACCAACATGGGAGGACTAGAAGGAGGTGTTGTGTACATTGACACAGAATCAGCCTTCAGTGCTGGAAGGTAGGAGATATTATTTTCCATTGTTATCCTTTATTTTTGTAACTTATGTCCAGCATGAAACATTTACAAATAGGTTACCATTTATTTTCTTTGTTTTCTGAGAATACAGAATACTAGATATTGTTTTAAAGAAATTTTCCTTCTAAAATTGATGCAGGAAGCAGTTTCTTTTCATCTTTCTATGCTTATTGGGTCAAATGGGGTTTCTGGATAAGCTGTGTTTTGCAGACAGGAAGAAAGAAGTTTAAGAAAGGGAGGGGAAGAATGTAAGTAGAAAATGGTGGAGAGAAAATTAAGACAAAAGACAAGCAGGCCTGTAACTAATTTCTAGCTGGAAGTAAAATCTTAATGGAAAAATTGCAAATTTCAAAACATTTTTGATTAGTTTAGAAATATTTTACTTTCATCTTTGAAATCACAGGTATTGAATGTAAGAAACACACTGATAGTAAGTGTATCCATGCTTGGAAAGAAAAGATTTCCTTGGTTTGGCAAGAACCTTAACCATTCTCTGAGAGAGGCATTCAGTTATTTGTGTAATTCTATGAACCTGAGATAAGTCTGGTCCTTTGCTCCCTGCTGACATTTATCAGCAGTAGTGCTTCTACACCTGGAGACTGACTCAGTTCTATTAAAGGTATAGTGTGGATCTAATCTTTTGAGTCTTTCTTTAACCATGTCATTATGAATCACATCTCTCCTTCATTTCTAAGAACACTATTTAGATCAAAGCATATTACCTGACGGGCTAAATTCCAAATGGATTATTTTACCCAGAGCTTATTTACATTGTTATCTCTCTCTTGGTTATTTATTCTTTTTAAGGCTATGCCACTACTTTGTCAGCTCTTTGAGTTAGTGTTGTATCTTTGTATCTTTAAAGCCAAATACAGTGACTGACACATTAACTGTTCAGAAGATTTTTGATAGATGAGTGTATTGACAGGTGTGACTCTCAGATCATGAAATCCAGATACCATTTTCTATAGAAAGAAATGAAGTTTCTTTAGGAATGTGACTGATTTTAGTTCTGGAGCAGGAATTTTTTAAGTTGAATGTGATACCTAGGAGCTATCAGACTACTTCAGGTGTGTCAGAAGGACCCAGAAGTCAACTTAAAGAGGCTCTCACTGGCCAAAGATGAAACAAATTGAGTACCAGTAAGAATAATATTTGCAGTGAATTAAAACATGTGAAATGTTTCTATCCATAAGTCTACAATAATAAGAAATGAAAAATAACTAGTTGAACACTGTTGGAGGAAGAGGCAGCTAATTTTGAAAATGAGTGAAAAAAGGGAAATCTAGCATGTAGTCTCCTTTTTTCTATGTACATATATTACTAACAGGTCTTTTTATTATAGATGTAGTCCAGTAATAACGGAAGGAATGATAGAATATTACCAAATTATAAACCCTAACAATCATGGATGTAAGATTTGAATATTGTAATATATAAGAAATACATATTTTATCTTTATCCTAGTTCTTGGCAAAGGGACTTCTAAAATGTTTGGAATTTCTTGAGGGATTGTGGTGAGAGAAGCATCACTCTTTATTCATAATTAGCTCCTTCCTACAAAATCTGAGTTTATGCTGAGGTGACTCTTGGTGTGTCCCTTAATAGCTTCTGATGGAAATTGGTTGCCAGAGGAAATAATTATGTGATTATAGGACTGGAACTTTCATCCCCTTCCCACCCTCCCTTCACCTTAAACCCCTTCTCTGAGGAAGGGAGAGGGACTAGAAGCTAGCATCACCAATGACTAGTGATTAGTCAATCATATTTATGTAATGGAATCTCCACAAAAATCTCCAAGTGATAGGGTTTGGAGACCTTCCAGGTTGGTGAACACATTGAGGTTCTGGGAGGTCGGTGTGCCCAGAGAAGGCAAGCATGGAGGCTCTGCCCCACTCCATAGCTTTCCCTGTCATCTCTTTCATTTGATTGATCTTTTATAATGTACTGGTAATAGTAATTGAAGTGCCTTCTGAATTCTGTGACCCATTCTAGCAGATCATTGTACTTGAGGAGGGATGCTCTGGGAACTCCCAGTTTATACCTGGTTGGTCAGAATTACCATTGACTTGTTATGCTGAGTCATTGAATTGGCTGAATTCTTTAGATTAAGTCCCCATCATCTCTTATCTGGACTACTCTTCTGGTTAATCTTGCCTTACCCTTGCCCATTTACAACGTCTTTTCAGTTTGTAGCTAGAGTGATTAAAGGAAAAAAAAATGAGGACATGTCAGTCCTGTTCTTAGGTTTTCCATTTTACTAAATAACAGCTGACCGTAATACCACAGACCTGCAGCTCTTATGTGATCCTCCCCACTAGCCAGCCTTCTGGCCTTTTTAAATTCTCCCCCTTGCTTCCTGCATTCCAGCTTTTTTGCTTCCTTGTTATTCCTCAAACATACCAGGAGTCCTCCCACATCTGGGCTTTTGCACTTGCTGTAATTTTCTCTTTCTATGTGCTGTGTCACTGCATCTCCACTTGATTTATTTCCTCATCTCCCTTAAGCCTGTGCTTAAACCTCATATTACTTTATTAAAGAGGCTTTCCCAGACCATCTATCCTGTAGAAAATAGCACTTGCTCCCATCTATCACACTGTGTTTTCTCATCCTGATTCACTTTTCTTTACAGCGCTTACCTGTGTATAATATGTATTTATTTATTTGTCTCAGTAGAATCCCAGTTCATGAGAGAAGGGATTTTTTTAGTTTGTTTTATGACTGTTGTTTCTTGCCACATCCTTAGCACCCGGAATAGTACCTGGTGTATAGCAGATCCTCAATAAATATTTGTTGAATGAATGAAGCTTAAGTGTATTCCTTGGAAGGAATATTTTTATCAAAAGGGGTCACTAGATGGCATTGCTTTCAAGCTTTAAATAATTGTCTTGGAGCAAAAGATGGGATCTTTCCTCTTGCTTGTTCTAACCAAAAAAGATCTTTGTGATGATTTTCACAAGAAATTGCTATAATTAATGTGAAGCATATAGAATACATGTATATTTGGTTTTTGATTTTTATTTTTCAGATAGATTTTTAAAGATAAAAATTATATTGGAAAACTTATAGAAAAGTATAGCATGTTGGTATGCAAAAAAACACTCTTTTATAGTTACTTAATGTGGTAACTATGAATAAAGTAAGTTGAGGCCTTCCTTCTGAGGGACCTCAGTGGAGTGAGAGAAGTGTAGGTTTAAAACCTTCCACCACTCAAGCCTCTAATTGAAATCCAGCCTATTTTTTTTAAATAATTTTTTATTTTTATATTCCCATACAATTGCAATCCCCTTATTTTGACCCCAATCCCTCCCCTCCCCGCCCCTCACCCCCCATAGAGTGTCTCTGGTTCATAGTTGTTTGTTGATTTTGATTTTCACTTTCTTATAGTTATTCATTTTCCTGGTCTCTTATTTAAGTTTTCTAGATTCCTGCTATGAGTGAGACCATCCGATATTTGTCTTTTTCTTTTTGGCTTATTTCACTGAGCATGATCCCTTCCAGCACCATCCATGTTGCTGCAAATTGCATGTGTTTATCTTTTTTGAATGCTGAGTAATATTCCATGGTATATATGTACCACATCTTCTTGATCCAGTCATCTATTTTTGGGCATTTGGGTTGTTTCCAAAGCTTAGCTATTGTAAACAGTGCTGCTATAAACATAGGGGTGCAGGTGCTCTTTGGAATTGATGTTTCTGTGTCCTTTGGGTAAATACCTAGGAGTGGAATTGCTGGATCATATGGAAGCTCTATGTTTAGTAGGTCCAGAAATCTCCACACAGCTCTCCATAGTGGTTGGACCAGTTTGCACTCCCACCAACAGTGCAGAAGAGTTCCTTTTTCTCCACAACCTCGCCAACATTTGTTGTTGCTAGTTTTTTTAATATGTGCCATTCTCACTGGTGTAAGATGGTATCTCATGGTAGTTTTGATTTGCATTTCCCTGATTGCAAGTGATGTTGAACATTTTTTCATATGCCTGTTGGCCATACGCATTTCCTCTTCAGAGAAGTTTCTTTTTAGCTCTTCTGCCCATTTTTTGACTGGATTATTTTCTTTGTTGTTGTTGAGTCTCATCAGCTCTGCACAGATTTTTGTGATCAGTCCTTTATCATTAGTGTTGTGTGCAAAAATGTTCTCCCAGTTGGTGGGGTGTCTCTTTGTTTTTGTTATTGTCTCTTTTGCGGTGCAGAAGCTCTTTAATTTGATGTAGTCCCAGCTGTTTATCTTTGCCTTCACTATCACTGCTTTGGGTGATGTGTCTGTAAAGATGTCTTTGATGTGCAGATCATGTAGTGTTTCGCCTATATTTCCTTCTATGTATTTTATGGTTTCAGGTCTTATGTCTAGTTCTTTAATCCATTTTGAGTTGATTTTTGTGTATGGTGTGAGGTAGTGGTCAAGCTTCATTCTTTTGCATGTAGCGACCCAGTTTTCCCAGCACCATTTATTGAACAAACTTCCTTTGCTCCAATGCATAGTCTTTGCTCCTTTGTCAAAGATTAGTTGACCATAAATCTGTGGGTTTATTTCTGGATTTTCTATTTGATTCCATTGGTCTGTGTGTCTGTTCTTGTTCCAATACCATGCAGTTTTGATGATTATGGCTTTGTAGTATAGTTTGAAGTCTGGGAGTGTGATGCCTCCATTCCCTTCTTTTTTTTTCAGGAGGGCTTTGGCTATTCGGGGTTTTTGGTAATTCCATATGAATTTCATCAATAATTGTTCTATTTCTTTGAAGAATGACATTGAAATTTTTATTGGAATAGCATTGAATCTGTATATTGCTTTTGGTAGGATGGCCATTTTAATAATGTTTATTCTTCCAATCCATGAGCAGGGGATGTCTTTCCATTTCTTTGTGTCTTCTATTTCTTTTAACAGTGTTTTATAGTTTTCTTTGTATAGGTCCTTTACCTCTTTTGTTAGATTTATTCCCAATTATTTGAAATCCAGCCTATTGTTGGAGGAGAATATTATTATTGTCTGTCTGCTGTGTTAGGTAGTCTCAGTCTGGTTCCTAAATACCTGGGCATCCAAATTTGGAAAAAACTTCCATGTTTCTGGTAAACATTGCCATACCTATGCTATTAAAAATACAGGGCTTACCATTACCAGAGATTTCTAGCTGACTTTTCTGAGTACCACTAAACTCAGCAGAGTTGTGATATTCAAAAAAATTTACACATTTTCCCCAAACCCTCAAAATTTTCCATTCCTGCCTTTGCTAAAGTTGTCTCTTCTTGGCTTTCATCACTTAGATCATTTCCTCCTTTTCTTCAATTTCTGTCTCTCTCAAGCTCTTCTGGAGGGTCATTTCATCCATTTTGTCTTCATTCTCTACACATCTTTTGTGTTATTCCTTACTCTAAAAGTAACTTTTCCTTTTCAACCTAATTGTATGTTTTCAAATTTTTCAAAATATACTTTTGAAAATGGTGTTAATTTTTTTTCCTGCTTTAGATTTTTCTATTTAATTTCTGATTATAACACATGTGAGAAACTTATTTTTGTTGATCTCTTTAAAGTTCTCTACCTCTTCTTGGAAGTCTTAAATTATCTAGAAATGAAAACATTGTTCTTATGTACTTTTGTATATAAAAGGAACAGAAAATATAGGATGGTTTTAGTGTTTACAGTCCCTCTTCAAGTCCTCCTTGGGTGGTTATATAGTAGGCTGATAAAAAAATCATTTTATTATTTTTTAAAAAAATTTTTATGCATCCAAGAACTGGGGTGCAGGGCAGAGCTGTATTGGGGAGATGAGAGGACTCATCAGAGACAGAGTGGGGAGCAGAACAGGCAGATCTACTGAAATTCACTGCTGAGGGGAGCAGCAGGCGAAGTAGGAGAGGTCTGCTGCATCATGTGGGTCAGCTAGCTCCATGGCAGGGAATCAAACTCATGCTGCAGTTTTTCTTTTAGGAATTTTAAATCAGAAATACTTAGAATGTCTAGTATTGCTCTTCATGTCATATACTGCTAATGCTGACAGTTGCCTCCTACCTTTGTGGTCTACTACCTCATGCGTCAGATCTAGCTTTGAGGTCAGAATTCAGTGTTTACAAAATCATTTTTTTGTTTACCAAGGAAATATTGGGTAACATTCATTTGTTTAGAACACGATTTCCTGTTTACCAAGAAATCATTTGTTAGCATTTATTTTGTATGTATTAAGTTTTATGTGAAAGTATACTTTTCTCATCTAAGACATGGAAATTATAGCTGATACCTGATTATTAGAATAATATTCTATATTTATTCAAATATATTTGTTTCAATCATGAAAAAGAAAATATTTTCCTTATTTACTAATCTTATAACTTCTAATCAAGTCATCATTTATAAAAAACATTTATTCCCAGAAAGATAAACACTAGAGACATTATTTTTGCTCAACAGTACATGAGACCTAAGCACTGTTGCTGATCTCAAGCTCTGACCACTGACCTCTCAGTGCTTATAAAGGAGGGCTTACATTCTAAAATTGTGCATTATGCCATCTTGTTCATACTTACTCTACTGATAAGACTTGTTCTAGTGTTCCTTGAAGCTTATGAATTTCCTAATTAAAATTCATTAGAGGGCCTCCCCGGTGGCGCAGTGGTTGAGCGCTGGGTTGCGAAGCTGCCCGCAGCCTCTGCAGCGCCGTTTCGATCCCCGGCTGCTCCCCGGCCACCGGAGGAGGATCCCACATGGCGCGCAGACCTCTCCTGCCGCCCCCTGCTCCCCTCAGCAGTGTACTTCGGTCCTTCTGCCTGCTCTGCTCCCTGCTCTGGCTCTGGTGAATTCTCTCACCCTCCCGCGCTTCTGACTGTACCCAGTGCTTGTATAAATAAATAAATAAATCTTAAAAAAATGCAGACTTTAAAAAAAAAAAACAAAACAAAATTCATTAGAGGTTTAGCAGTGTGACCTTAAATGCCACTGACTATTTTCACTTGTGCTATTTTCCCCCCTACTGCCTCCTACCGCCAGATTGGTTGAAATAGCAGAATCCCGATTTCCCAGCTACTTTAACAATGAAGAAAAATTACTTTTGACAAGCAGTAAAGTTCATCTTTATCGAGAACTCAGCTGTGATGAAGTTCTACAAAGGTACACCATTTTTGATTTTGGTAGAAGATTTACCATTTTTTTATGTTCCAACTTCTAATTGAAATAAAAGTGCCTGCATATTCAGATTATGGGAAATAATTTTTTTAGTGTTGTTCTTTATTTACTACAGCCAATTGATGATGTTTTTCTTTAAAAATGGAAAAAAAATATTGAGCAATGTATTTCAGATTTAATTAATATTTTAAATAGTGTATATTGTTTCATTAATAAAGTGCCTCCAGAGTTGAACAGTTTAAAATGGCAAATATTGGGGGGTGGGGAGGGGAGGGATTGGGGTCAAAATAAGGGGGTTGCAATTGTATGGGGAATATAAAAATAAAATTTATTAAAAAAATAAAAATAAAACTGAATTTTAGCATGAAAAAAAAAATGGCAAATATATATTTATTACCTCACATAGTTTCTGAGGGTCAGGTGTTTGAGGGCAGCTTAGCTGCGTGTTTCTGGCTCAGGTTTGCTCAACAATCAAGCTGTTGGATAGGATTGTAATCATCTCAAGGCTCAATTAGGGCTGGAGAATCTCAGAACATCCATTCATACTGTTGCTGGAAAACCTTCCTTCCTTGCTGGATGTTTTTCCTCTTCATTTGGGCCTCTCCATAGGGCTGCTTACAACATGGTACTTTGCCTCCCCTGGTGTGAGTGATATGAAAGAGCATGAGCAAGTGACAGGGAGTCCAAGTTGGAAGCTATAGCCATTTATAACCTATTCTCCGAAGTGGCATCACTTTGTTAAATGCTATTAATCAATAGCCCAACCCTTCTAGAGTAGGGCAGGGGACTCCACAGAAGTGTGAATACTGTGGAGTGGAAGTAAATGCAGGCCATTTTGGAGACTGGCCATCCCAAGTAGTTCTGCTCTAAAATTGGAGATTTAGCAGTATCATATAAGAACCAAAGGATGAAACAAAACAAACATTGTGGTCCATTTTCAAAAGCATGCAGTATGCATAGGAGAGCTGTAACCATTACTGTAATATAGGGAAGAACAATTTTTGTTGTTTTAAAGTTGATTAATCTTTGCAGTACTCCATTTTACCAAATTTTCCTTTAATGTTTCCAGTATTTCACAAATTTTGTTTTAACAGGATTGAATCCTTGGAAGAAGAAATTATTTCTAAAGGAGTTAAACTCGTAATTATTGACTCTGTTGCTTCTGTGGTAAGAAAGGAGTTTGACCCACAACTTCAAGGCAACATGAGAGAAAGAAACAAATTCTTGGCAAGAGAAGCAGCCTCCTTGAAGTATTTGGCTGAGGAGTTTTCAATCCCAGTAAGTTTTTCTTTTTTTCCTCTTTTATTTCTTTTCTATTAAGTTTATGAACATAATATCAGGTAATAGAAAGGAAATGCAAAGCAAGTGGCTTTTCAAAGGTAACAGTTCTAATTGCTATAGTAAATAACATCATGTTTATTGAGATTATTTTATGTTTTCATAATTTGAGCCTAAGACAGATTTAAATGTCATTGTTAAGAGTTCCTATGGTTATTTCTTTTCTACCCTCATTTACTCTTCATATTATATATTACTTTCATCACACTGAGATAAATACCAAATAATGAGACTCCACAAAATTGCCTAGGCCTACTTATATTCAATATCTTTTATGGTAGTAGTTATCAGTTTTCTAGGTATTTTAGGTTTCGATATTATGTTATTCTAATCAGTATTGTTTTATATGCTACAGACTTTGTTTTGTGTCACTTGACCAATATTGAATATTTTCATGTGTTCAGAGTGATAGTAATGGAAGTGTCACTAAGGAAACCTTGAAAGTTTGGTTACTGTTGACATGGCTGTCAGTAGTGGGAATTGTGATCATGAAATCTGAAGATGAGTGTATATTGCAAAGGTTTGTGGTTAGTAAAGTGCCAAAACTAAATGTAACAAGTTATTTTACATTAGCAGCATGTGGGAAAGTTCTGTTTGTTCTGCAGCCTCACCAATATTTAGTATTATTAGGCTTTTCAGTTTTAGCCATGCATCATCTCAACAGGAGATAATCAAATTTCTTAAATGGAAATAAAATTTAGTTGTGAGAATTTAAATTTCTAAATTATTTATGAATGATTTGCTAGTGTCTTTGAAAACTTAGTTTTGCTTATTTGTAACATATAGTATATGTACCAGTAAACTACCACATAGTCTTTGAGATATATAAACCCAAGCAAAAAGTCAAGAGAGAAAATGTGGAATGCAAAAATTTTACATATTTTAACAACTTTTTAATTATTGTTGGGATATATGATATATTTCTTGGTAAGTCAAGTGCTAAAAAAATTATCCAGGATATTGCTCATTTCTTAAAATTCGCTGTGGTCAGTTAAAATGACAAATTCAAATCCCTGTTATCCCTGGTCAAGAAAAATAAGGAAATTTAAGAATATTTTAGTTACTTGATTAAATGAAAAAGTTAAGTATGTATGTTTATTTTTTAATGCATGATTGTTGCTGCACTTTATCCTGTGTAAAATATAAACATTGACTTACTTAAAAGTTGAATTTGTTTGCTCTTAAATAGTAATTATAAGTTAATGCTTTTCTGTTTTTCTGAGATGACTTATTTTTCTGAGTGAGAAAGGGGCTCTACTTTTTTTTTTTAAACAGTGCCCTCTGAATGAATAGATTCTTAATATCCTCATGTCACCATCTTTGCCTTTATGTTTCTGTTTAGAGATAACTGCATAATATAGTATGTACTTATACAAAACAGTGTAGTATTAGTTTTTGTGGCAAATATTGGTTTTCGAAGTCTTTTGAAATATACTTCCTTTAGAAAATGTCAGCATTTTCTTAGTCTTATTACCCCACTTAAATGGAAAGTCGTAAACTTTCCAGCTTTAAAGCTAGACTTAAAAAAAAAAATTTTGCGTAGAAGATATGGGGTGTAGGCTAGAGGTGTGGGGGGGTGAGATGATTCACCAGTGACAGAGCGGGGAGCAGAATAGGTGTATTTACTGAAATACACTGCTAAGGGGAACAGGAGAGGTCGGCTGCATCACATGTGGGTCAGCTCCCTGAGTGGGGATCGAACTCAAGCCTTAGTGGTGATAGCACTGAGACTTAACCCCATATCTCTTACTATGCTTTGTTTGGGATCCCCCTATAAGGCAGAAACGGTCATACTTGTTAGATAAACTTTCAGCTAAAGAGGTAACTAGATATGGATGGAATTATATAATGATTAAGAGATCAATACATCAGGAAGCTTAACATTCATCAGTATATGTGCACCAATGGAGCACCAAAATATATAGAACAATTAGCAAACCTAAAAATAGCCACTGACCACAACTGGAAACGGTAATACTTTGTTTTGCATTTATTTAAGACTTTCAGTTGCTAGTGAACCCATTCTCATTTTGACCAGTTAGCTTATCTAGGCCAACACTCATTAGCTTTTTGTATAAAGGGACCGACAGCAATAATTTCAGCTTTGTGGGCCACACAGTCTCCATGGCCCAACTCTGTCCTTGCAGGGTGAAAGTAGCCCATAAACATTTTTGTAAACAAAGGAATATAGTTGTGGTTCAATAAATCTTTGGTAACAAAAACAGATGGAGGGCCAGATTTGATCCATGGTCAACCCCTGATCTGGACCCTATTATATTCTCTCTAGACTCAGGACCTGGGACTTGTTCTACCATAAACTACCAGTTTGAGGAATTGAGAGAAAAGAAAAAAGAGCAGTCTGTTCATGAAAACAGACTTTTATCAAGCTATTTTAAGGCATTGACCTTGTTGAAATGCGAGTTATATGCTTATGAGCCTCGATGGCTGACTTCAGTTTTATAATATCACAGAAATATGAAGAATTATAGAGCTAATACTTCTAAAAACATAAAAATGGGTTGTGTTTACAAACAACATAGTACTATTCAAATTACTCTAATACTATAGATAATTTGCTAAATTAGATTATTGCTTATGATATATACTAACTTACACACAGATTCTTTTGAATTTATATATACATACTTTTGTTCATATGATGACTCAACTTTCCCACCTTTTTTCCGTGTTTTAGCAACTACAAAACCTTCCTCTGTTTGGGAAGGGTGACATCATTTGGCCCTCACCTGGGCATGAATGCATTTATGTTTGAAGTCTGCCATTGCTTGTTTCTCATTAGTCCCTGATGATTAAAGTAGTACTACTTGGCATTACTTGATTTAAAGCAGGCATTAATATCTCGTGGCAGTTTTCAATTATAAAATGCCTATACTAATATTTCAAAGTCATCATTTATATGAAAGCATAAAATTTAAATATTCTCAATTTATAGACCTTTAAATATGTTCATAGACTACAATTTGAAAAACATAGTCATACCAGTCTTTCAGAATTTTTTGCCCTGAAGTTAATGGGGGGAGGAAGTATAAGGAACACTCTGCTATTGGATGTAAGATGTAGAACCTTTGTCTTTTTAAAATATGTTCATGTTAGTATTGGAAAAAACAATGGGTCCTGAAACTGTTTCTAGATACTTGATGAAAATAAGAAGAATTTAAATAATGTTTATCAAAAATACCTTGTGATTATGGTTATATTGTCTGTTGTTGACTTCTAATTGCCATACACAGAAAGTCATTATACATATTGTAAGTTATATATTAGATTAATAGGATTTTCTTGCCAAAAAAGGATCTTAAAGATCATCCAGATTAACCACTTCATTTTACAAACGACACTGAAGCCTGATTTGTTCAAGAATACTTGGCATGGGGACTTCCTGGTGGTGCAAGGGGCTAAGGTGCAACCTATGAAGCTATCTGCAGCCACTGCAGCATAAGTTTGATCCCCCGGCTGGCCGGGAGCTACCCACATGGCTCAGCAGACCTCTCCCGATTCCCCGCTCTGCTCCTCTCAGCAGTGTGCTTCAGTCAATCTGCTTGTTCTGTTCCCAACTCTATCTCTGGTGAATCCTCTCACCCCCCCACACCTCTGGCCTGTACTCCCATTCTTATATGCATAAATAAATAAATCTTTAAAAAAAAAGAATACTTGGCATAGGAGAGGACAAATAGTAAGTAGAATACAAGATCTTTTGGATGTCAGTTCTAGGATTTTAATTTTTTTCTATAGTAAGATTATTTTTCCTGAAACCTATAGAATAATAGTGAACTATAAGCTTCTTAGACAGGGATGTCTTATACTATGAGCCTTGTAACCAATAATTACAATTATCAGATCATTGTTATATATGTTAAACTAACGTCAATTATTTCTCAAAATTTTGAGAGTATATGAGACCTCGAAATAATAACACAGAGTAATATATTAAATTCAGCATCTGCAAAGAAGAACTGAAAGTAGTTTTCTTTTTTTGAGCTGAGTAAGTAATTTGTTAAAAGATCATAAATAATAGATATGGCATTGTGGAACTTGTACCTGGTGCCTAAGTGAGAAGGGCCTGATTTTAAAAGTGCAGTGAAGGGACCTGAAAAGTAAAAAAAAAAAAAGAAGAAAAAACTACAATGAAGGCATATGAAAATATAGTTATTAGATATTTATGTTGTGTTTATGTCCATTTAAATATTTTTCTTAATTTTTTTAACATTAACTTGAATTTTTTACTTCTGAAATTCTTGTCTTGATTTTTATGTTGACCTTTATAATCCACATTAACTGTGTTCTTTATGCTTGTCTTATTTTCCATCCTAGAGTTTTATGAGTTATTTGAGTAAAGGAGAATGAAAATACTTTGTTTAGATAAAAGGACTCTAACTTTCAAAATTCTTCTTTGAAAATGCTTCAAATTGTACAGTCCAGCAGAGATGCAAAAAAAAAAAATGCACAAATGTCAAGATCTAAATTTTTAAAATAAGTTAGCAAATTTTAGTTGTTGGCATATGAGTCCCATTGAATTTTCTTGTCTCTTTTCCTTCTACTTCTTCTGTCTTCATTTCTTGCAAATATTTTCTAGCACAAGGGAACTAGACCAGTTAAATTAAATTTAGAAAATTAGTATATTGAGAAGAATTGGATGTACTATTTAAATAGTATAAGAGGGAAAAGTTTCATTTTCATTGAAAGTTAAAATGAAATTATTATACTGAGAAGTGATTGTAACCAATTTTTCTGTTGTTGGCCATCTGTGTTCTTGATTATGTGCCTTTTGAGAATATGTATTTCAGTATTGCATAGCAAGGTTTCTCTGGAAATTTTAATGTCTGGGAATGTTTAAAGCTAAGAAATTAATTAAAATATGTGCATTCCTATTTTCTTATTTTAAAGACATGATTTAAATCCATTAACTAGTGGAAACAGTT